TCATCTCTCATCTGTAAGCTGGTTTCAAAAGAGTATAAAAAGTCAACAACCTCTTTTCTTACAAATTATAACACACAAAGCTTTTGCCGTTATTTGTGGTGATAGCTTGCTAGTTATAAAACAAAAAATAAAAATAATACTAACAATTGGATCAATGAAAGCTGGATGAAGAATAGTAGAACTGTCCATCCATAGATGTGGGGAAAAAAACAACATTTCAGGATGGAAAAATACAGAAACACAAAGAGAAGGAGGTCTGGTTTGTAGAACTGAAGCCTGCTGGGTCGGACCAGATAATGGATTCATAAACGGGCTTTTAACAGCCGTGCAGCTGGAGTGGCGTTTGCCCTTCAGTGTGAAAGAAAAGCAAACAGGAAGTGCATGTTGGAGACAGCCAGAGACTCTGGATGTTTGGAGGGGAACCACAGCGCCTGCTGATGACAGAGCTAACCTGACACCCGTTAACCAATCACATGGTGCTAGATTAGTGGAAACAACCTACTTTGCCTTCCGTCTGCACACCAGATAAACACAGTAGAGCTAAATTAAGAACTAAACAGACAAAAGTGTATTTTACACATAAGTGGTCTGTAGAGCCGTCAGAACAAAGAACCAGGAACACGATTAGTGTCTAAACAAAAAGAATTAGTGAAGGTGAGTTTTTAATTCTTTTAAACAGACAATTATCTGTGCAAATCAATTCTGTGTTCAGCTTGGGGGGGGGGGGGGGGGGGTGATTATTGACTCTGCAGGAGTGGATCGATCAGATGAAGTCACAGCACCTCATTATGTTACTGCTAATAAACAGAGAGAACAAGAAGAGAGTGATGGCTCCTCAGTATTGTGTACAAAAGCATGTACTCTAGGAGTATACGGGCTGTTAGGTCCCTGCATGACCGGTTTTAGAGCTTGGTCCGCATTGCCGGCAGTAAGACGGGCTCGTTTCCGATGAGAGTTGGGACTCCACCAAGGCTGCCCTTTGTCATCGATTCTGTTCATAAGTTTTATGGACAGGATTTCTAGGTGCAGCCAAAGTGTTGAGGAGATCCGTTTTGGTGGCCGAGAACCGGGTCTCTTTGTTATGCTGATGATGTGGTCCTGTTGGCTTCATCAGAACGTGATCTCCAGCTTTCGCAGAAGCAGTTCGCAGTTGAGTGTGAAGCAGCTGGGATGAGAATCAGCTCCTCTACTGGAGCGTGAGATCGACAGGCGGATTGTGTCTGCAGTGATGCGGGTTGTACTGATCTGTCGTGAAGAGAGAGCTGAGCCAAAGTTCTCAATTTACCGGTCGATCTACATTCCTACCCTCACCTATGGTCACAAGCTTTGGGCAATGACCAAAATAGATAGAAACTGTCCTAAATTATTTCCTATGAACACAATTTTGAATTTTCTCACCAATGGCGGTGGCCACGCATACGCATGTTCCTCTGCAATCGTCTGACGATAAATCCCACCTGTGTGTACCCAGGTGCTCGTGTCCATTCATCATTCTATACATGCAGAAACACCCGCAATTAACCACATTTGGTCACACCATGTCTTTGAGAGGAATCAGTGTGTTTCTCTGGGAAAACAAATATTTAAAACGAGGTACTGGCTGCAGAAGTAGAAGACAAACAAACACGTTGCAGAGGTTGTAAAAGCGGTCGAGACAAGAGGGGAGGTCCTTGTCAGACACAAAGAAAAATAAAGGTTCAACATAAAAAAAAACTGTGTAATGGACTGAATGTTCCATTCTTTTGTCATTTACAGATTACATTTAAAGAGCTGAAGGCATGTTCTGTTAGTTTTGTTCTTGTCTGGAAACGTTTGTTGTATGAATACAGAGCTGTCAGTCGGTTTGAAGAAGAAGAAGAAGAAAAGATCATTTCTATAGCGCCTCTCAAGATAAAAATCACGAGGCGCTTCACAAAAACAAAAAATGTGAAAATATAAAAATGTGAAAATATAAAAATAATTTAGAAAATGATTAAAAATATATTTAAAATGAGCAAAAAATAGACAATTGTGATTAAGAATTTTAAAGAAAGAGAGAGAGTGAATAGGAAAGAGGGAAATCAGTGGATCCTGAGGAAGGTGGAATAGGTGGGGAGAGCAGAACAAGGAGAGGGTGATGAAGGTCACCCCAAAACCAGCTTGAACAAGTGAGTCTTCAGCTGCTTTTTAAAGGAGTCCACTGAGTCAACTGATCTCAGGCTCAGGGGGAGAGAGTTCCAGAGTCTGGGGGCCACAGCAGCAAATGATCTGTCACCTTTGGTCTTTAGCCTGGTGCTGCACAACCAGTAGGCTTTTGTCACTGGACCTCAGGGACCTGCTGGGGGTGTAGGGACTGAGAAGATCTTGAAATGAACCCTGAAGTTGACCGGCAGCCAGTGAAGTTGGAGGAGAAGCGGGGTGATGTGGGTGCGTTTGACAACACATGTGAGAAACCGAGGTTCTTGAGGGTGCTCGGAGTTGTCAAAAATAGAATATGGATTGGAGTCGGATTTGTGCGGTTTGGCTGTTGCTCCACAAAGGTTCCAGATCACAGTGTAGGTTCAGAAAGATCTCCTCCAAGAATCAGATCAGTGCACTCACGGAGGATGCTTTAACTCCTTAGCGCACGCTCTGCCAAATCCTCCAATAACACAAAATCAGCCATTCTACTATGTCAGAATCCCATTGGCCACAGGTGTCTTTTATATGTTCTAGCACCAGATATGCAATAAAGCTGTTTTTTCAACCAAAATAATTATTTATTGGGTAAAAATCATTTGTGGATGAGGAACATGTGTGGATGACTGAGACCTTCAGTATTGCAGTTCCCTTGTTTTCCTACTAGATACTGTTTGTATGCATGATCTGACTTTTTTTTACTGTAACCTTTTCATGCACAAGTACAAAATGATGAATACCACACAATGCGTAAAATAGATCCTACTCATGACACACGCACAGATCTGTGCTTAAGTACGGTTGATAAACGAGGGCACTGGACTTGACTGTGACACTTCTGTATTTGCCATTTCCATGGCGGTTAGCTGCTGTGCTCTAGGCTATTTTCATGCATCAGCCAAGCTTCAGACAACAGCAGGATGGCCTCGCACATGTATGGTTTACCTAGCACCCCCCCCCCCCCCCCCCCCCCCCCATAAAAAAAACCCCAAATCATCTACCTGCCACCACCGTGCTGACATCAGGTAGATATTTGCTCTGTTAATCTGTGTTGGGTTTCCTCCAAATATGACACTTATGGGTAAACATTTCTGGCTTAGTGTCATCTGTCAAGAAGACAGCATCCAGGAGTCTAATGCAAGGTGTGTTGCCATCATCTCTTTAATCAGACGATAGGTTCTCTTGGTGGTTGTCCTTTTCTAATTGGAGTGACATGATCTTACAACTCATGCTAACTGAGGCATGATGAGACTGTGGGATGTAGATCTCACTTTTATAAAAGGATTTAGCTCAAATGGACGAGCACTGTCCAACGATAGAGTCTAAATAATTAGAAATGTCTCCGTGGAGGTTTTTAGATTAACACATGGGCTGCATGGTGGCGCAGTGGTTAGCACTGTTGCCTCGCAGCACGAAGGTTGCAGGTTCGACACTCGGCTCGGCCGCGGCCTTTCTGCGTGGAGTTGTGTGTTCTCCCCATGCATGCGTGGGTTTCCTCCGGGTACTCCGGTTTCCCCCACAGATCACAACATGCCCTATAGGTTATAAATTGTAAGTCGCTTTGGATAAAAGCGTCTGCTAAATACATAAACATGTCAAAAACTGCTTTATTGTTGATGTCACCCTTCATCTTAAGCATTGTGGGATTAAACGTGTCACTTAATCAGGTGCTTTGACTCCACTTATCTTCTCTCGATCTTTCAGAACGGTTTAATCTTGCTGCAGAACAGACAAAGCTAACATGTGATTAGTAAATTGATGAGACAAAGTCTGAGGAGTTGCCTATAGGAGGGCAGGAGATTGTGATTCTATAGGTTATTTCTGGCTCCCTGCCCTGTTGAAGAAGCCATTTCCTTCACCCTGGGAGGTGTATGAACGCTGCATCTTCACTCCGACTCTATTATCTGAGCCGACAAGTTCCAACAGGAAGCCTCTGATGGCTTCATTTACAGTGGAAGGAAAAAATGTCACTAAATTTAACCTGTAATTGCAGCAATTTTTCACTTGGTATTTCAGCTGTTTCTGTTCAGCATAAAACACAGAATAACCTTCACCAAATAATCCATTTAAAAAGTCTTTAAAAGAAAAAAAATGTATACACTGCTTTCCATGTATCCCCAACCATAACCCACTTCCTTCTGGGTTTTAAAAACATCCTAATTGTTCAGACTTGCTACACATCTGTCTCCAACCTACATCAGATAAGTTGCCATCCTGCAGATGTCTTTGTTACTGTTCATCGAGCTTCTGCCCTCATCTGTTGGGTAGCAGTACTACAAATGGACTTATTAACCCCCCTCATTTGCCCTCAACTCATTTGGATGTGAGTTGAAAAGAAAGATGGAAAACTTTAGCACAGGCAACTCTAACCTGAAAGATTTTCTCATCACATGGCTTCCAAAAGCTATTTAGCTCCCTTCATCCCTGGTGTAAGCTAACTTTTCCCTGGCCAGCCTGGTCCCTGCAAACTAATGTCACGATGCAGGATTAGCAGCCTCTGAGTCAGTGTGGAGAAAGAGAAGCTGTCATTATTGCCAAGGGGGAGCGTTGGTGAATTAAGACAGCCAAGACTGAATTTGTGCAATGTCAGAGTGGATTTATTGCTGGGATATCGGGCTTCCCAGCAGCACATTTTAGCTCTGTACAGTCTGTCACATTAACGTTTAACCAAAGATGGGAGGAAAAAGACTGAAACATTGTATTTGATCGCCTTTGTTTCATATTCCACATTCATGTTCAACTGATGGATCCAAACATGAGAGGAGCATCTGCTGATCAGGTTGGGTTGGGAGGCAGCACCGATAATCTGGCATCAAATACAAGGTTTTATTTCATTGTCTTACCAAAAACTTCATCCTGTGTTTCGGGCTCTGCTGCTGTTCCTGTTGGCTCTACGCTGGGGTCAGGTGACGAAGCCTTTAATAAGAACACAAAAACAGATTGAGGAGGTGAGGCGATGAGGTGCCATGGTAACAGAGCAAAGATAGAGACCAACAGACAGAGCGAGGAGGAGGAGGAGAAGAGAATAGAGAGATACATACAGTAGACTGAATCAGATGTTAAAACCTCATTAGCAAAGAATTAGCTTAAAATTATTTTAATCTCATGGTGCTGATGCTGGAATGATTGCTGCAGTTGGTCTTTTTGATTTTATTGACATAAAACATATTGTTAAGCTTTAATGCTCTAACATAAAAAGCCTATATGGGGTTCTTTCTCAAACATTTTACACAGTAAATAAGTTCAATACAGACCATAAAACTTAATTAGTATTTTATTTTGGTATTATTTAATTAAAAAAATAATCCAAAACGACATAACGACTGGTGACAATCAGACAAATGAGCCAGAATGTAGAAATACAAGAAAGCTTCAAGAAATTAAAGACACACTGACATCTTTCAGAAAAAAATGTCTAAAAGGTCGTTTTCCAACAGGTGACAGCATGGACTAGAAGGAGTCCTTACATAAACGTTCTGAATCATTTCAGGTCAAAATTACAGTCAGATGCTGAATGGAAATCTGGAGAAGTCCAGTTGAATACCATCAACTGCCTGGCTTATCAACCAGCAGAGTAAACCCCAAAAGCCACCAACAGCAGGGGGCGCCGGTATGACAATGCATGCATCAACGTAAAACTGTTAAAGAGGGAATTCGCTACGAGAATGATTTCAACGAGAAAAGATGTAGTGTTTAAATATTCATCCAAATGATTGATTTCCTGCTTAAAAGAATAAACAACACACTACTAATGGGATTTCTCCTGCCTGGTAATCAACAAATTATACACATAAACAACGGATGATAGTTTCTTTCTCCATCACAGCTCTGGTGCTAACAAACAAACCATCAAACATAGAGTGCAGTGATTGGCAAGACGCAAAACTGCTCAGGCCATTGGTGGAGCTGGAGCGTTACGAGACTGACCTGCAGGGCAAAATCCTTCGTCTAGATTTCTGGGCTACATGATCAGGTCTGAGATTGCTGCAGTAATAAGCACGAGGATGGGCAGGGAGAACATCCAAACTCCACACAGAAGGGACAGATTAGCAGAAGCTAGTGCATGCCTGCTTGGACTTATCTGGAAGGTAAGCCGTGATTCTTCATTAAAGGCACAGTCTGCAACATTTAAATGTAGAATAACTTTAAAAATGTTTTATTTTGACCATCTGACCCAATTTTATTAAAAAAAGTAAATAATCTTTAATATTTCAATTTTCTCCTAAGTCCCTCCCCTGCCCTGTAGAGCTCAGCCAATATTTCTGCAAGCCTAACGCGTTGACCAATAGCGCTGCGTTACCACCAGGGGGCAGCTGTCAATCATCGAGCACGAGCAGGTCTCAGCGTGCACAACAGTGTCACGCGCCTCACTCGGCTTACTGCAGAAACATGGAGCAACAAAACCCCAAATTACCGATTCCTCGACTGCCTTCCACATCTCAAAAAACATTTACAAAGTTTAAAAGCCCTTCCTCAAAAGTGGCTGTAAGACGTTTGAGACAGTCGAGTAGAATTTACATTGGAGATTGTTTTAAACGATGGAGTGATTTTCGTGATCTACACGGCCTGAAAACGGATGAAGAGTTGGCAAATTATCTTTTGGACAGGTACGTTATTTATTGTTTTTCGGATAAATTTACTTAAAATCTTTCTTTCACTGAAAGAAGTAATAGAGCAAACAAGCTTTGTATGCTTGGTGTCCTATTGGCTAATGTAGCGTTAGCTTGAATGCTAAGTCGACATGAATCGATGCTAGTCAAACTAGTTATGCTATATTTGGAAGAAGTTTGAGTAACGAAAGGGGATTTTAGTTTTTTTATATGGGAGCTAATGATTAGTGTGGCGTTTAACTATAGGCCATATCAGTGTATTGTTTTAAGCTCTTGTTTATAACTTCCCCGTTAGCGGGGTTCAGTTAGCATCTTGAAAGCTGAATTAGATGTTTACACTTGCCTGAGCTGCGTGTTTGATTAAAATGAGTAATCAGCAGCTCATGTAGCACTTGTAGAAGTCTGAGGAGATGATTCAGCAGTTAGAATGAGGTGTGATTGATCAGGAACGTATCCAAAACCTTACGTTTCCATTAGCACTGAAAGACATATTGTGCTAACCTGGGTGGGCCACGTGTACAGATTACTGTCTGAGTTTGTGGTCTTACCTACGTGAAAACTCCATATTAAAATAAAAGGAATGATAATCAGCTCGTGCAAAAATCTGTGAAGGCTGGGGAGACATGTTTAGCTTGTGATCACTAATTTTTGGGCTTTGTTTTTTACAGTCATCAGTCCAAATATGAAGCATCAACATATACACCATTGAAACGCCAACTGTTTATTTCTCCAACACCAGTGCCAGCTCTGTCTAGCATTCATGGAGAGTCATCTGAAAGGTAAATAGCTGCGTAAAAACCTCTACCAGGAATATTATAATTTTGCCTGTTTGTTTGAAGTTAGTGGTAGATTATTTTGAAAAAATTCTAGAAATGGGATAATGAATGACTATAAAAAATGTATAGAAATAAATAGTAAAACTACATTTTATATAGCGCCGCTCAAGATAAAACTCTTGAGGCACTTCACAACAACAAAATTAAACATATTTTAAAAAATTATATTTTTATTTCAAAGTTTATGAGAAAAAAATAACACAATTGTGTTTTTAAAATGTAAAGAGAGAGACAGGAAATTATTTGTAAAGAAGGAATTCAGTGGATACAGAGAAATGCGTAATAAGTAGAGGGAGAAAAATAAGGAGAGGGTGATGATGACGGCCAATAGACGAGGTCTATTACCTTCAAAATGATAAAATATGTATTGATTTTAATCATATTCTTGTGCTTGTACTTTATTTTCATAGCTATGATAATTTGGAGGAGGTGATGGAACAAGGTGAAACTAAGAAACCATGATCGTCAACCAACGTTTGACAAGCAAGAAAGGTCTTCCTCGACGCTACAAGCTAAGGCCTGATGATCCAAGGCGTTACGGTTTGCTGTCCGGAGTCCCTGCACCATCAACAGAGGAACTTCTACAACACCTACGGACTTGCGGTGATGGTAAAATAAAACATTATCTGCCTTACATCTTCCACACAATAGTCCATTGCTAATCGAGTTTATTTTTTATTTACAGGTAAAACTTTGCCACAGACATAGGTGTTGGGGGAGGCAAGAGAAAACCCAAAACCTTCTTTATTTTTGTTTCCTGTGTTTTATTTATTTATTTTTTTTAAATAAAGATATATTTTGGGGAAATAAGGACTAATAATTTAAAAATGTATGTAAAATGTTGGAGGTAGACATAAGTTTTTGTTGTTGTGCAGGAGTTTTAAAATTTATGGTATTTTTACAAATGCAACACAGAGTTGTGCTTTAGAACACTTTATTAGAGCATCAAACAAAAATATATAAAAACAAACTTACGTAAAATATCAAATATATACATTAATTTACAATCGTCTTGGAATAAAACCAGTGTAGTTACCATTGGGGTCAGGGAATTTTCCCCTTATCCTCCAGACAACGCAGCTTGGGATTACTACTCTGCATCCTCCACCAAGTTTTCCATGCTGCCATGCTACAAATTGTCTGTAAGCTGCATGGCGGAACTGTCTGTTGTCCTCACCAGGGTCCGGGTCATCATAAACTGCTTGAAACTCATTCCACAATGTTCTGGCCAGGCGAAGAACACCATTTTACAGAATAAACTCCTCCATGTGTGGTACAGTTGAAATACATGTCTGGGGAGGCTGTTGGCAGCATTTCTTTTCCAAATCAGTTGGCATATCTCTGCAGTGGGAGCATACACACCATGAAGGTTGATTGGATGTTGGAGGTGTTGTGGCAGGTGGACCAGAGAGGGCAAGTACATCAAAGAGAACACCAGGGTCTCTGTCCAGCACCATGGTAAGGATGTCAATAGGCTGCTGAGGGTTCAGGTTCTGTATATGTTGCTACAAAAGTGGAAAGAGATGCTACAGCAACAGTTTTTAGGATAATTTAGTGTAATTTTGTTATGCTTACACGTTCAAAGTCTATTTGCTCGGAACGAAGATTCCGAACTCGAGAGAGATCTTCATCTCCAAGGTCCACAGCTGAGTGTCTCACACTTCTTCGGCCTCTGGATGCACCGCGGCCTTTAGATCCACCACGGCCTCTGGATGCACCACGGCTTTGAGACGATGGTGGGCATCTCCTTTTTGCACCACGTCTTGAGGATGCAATAGAAGGTTCAAACTCTTCCTCAGAGGATTCCTCTATCACTGAACTCTAAATTGTATTAGAATAAAAAAATTATACTATTATAAAAAGTACTCTTGCATATTAATCAATTTTGACACAGATCAGGTTTACATCTAGTCAAAATTTGGGCTAAACCAACAATAAACAGAAACCCTATGAAAACAACCATGATTATAGGAGGACTATACAGAATGCAGTGTTTATTCATGATTTCTACATAAATTATATGCTTTGATATATTCATCCCATCTTGAATGGCAAAGCAATTAAAAATAAGCTAATTACTCGTAATAAATGCTAACAATTTGATAGGATTCATTTTATTTACAATATAGATTGTCAACTGTTAATGGTATTTTAAAATATATTTATAGATATTCTTTATAAAATGCCTTTTGTAAACAGTGTGTTTAACGTGCTGATTAAAAACAACTTTCTTACCTCAGATAACTCCATTGCTAACACTAGCTCAGCTCTATTACGAAGAAGCAATGCTGCTCCGATGTTGACTCTGCTTTTCCTGCGCGTGCACATTGGGAGGTGTGGCTTTCGGCTCTTTCAGGAAGGGCGGGGGAGTGAGCAACAGCCGTTCGAATTTAAAAATCTCCTCCTCCTCACCCTGACAGCGTCATTTTACAGATCGTGCCTTTAAGGTAAGTTTAGTAAAAGAAGTAGGTCTATCTATCTAGATGTGAGGTTGCTTTTGAGTCCCAATCCAGCCTGGTAAACATCAGTCACGGATGGAGGGTACTAACCGTGCAGAGTTACACTTCTACTGTTTCTTTGACAACAACAAGACATAAAGAAGAAAAGCATACATACAAACCAAATATGCATGCTTTTTAGAGATGCAGTTTCCATTTGTCTCATTTGGGTGACAGAGTGCCGTGTGACAGCTAACGTAACAAAGAGGAAGCACATGTTCCTTGTTTAAGAGGAAATATGACATGCTTGTCTCAACTAGCTTTCACACGTGCAAAAGTACTGATTCAGCTGCAGGTCCCTGTTAGCTCTGGTTTGATGGAATATATGAAGTCAGAGCTTAACCAGCGCACAGGCTGGAACATTACACCCACATAAAACAAGCTGAGTCATGATTAGTTACTGCACTTGTTTATCAAACATAACTTTATCTGCGGCTGTGTTTTTGAGTCGTTCGTGTTCTTCCTGATCCCACCATCCATCGCTGAAACAAAGCCATCTTTACGTTTGCAGATCCACTTTACACCCCCAAGTGACTTCACCAAAATGGGGATTCAGCACACGTGCACAAAGACTGTGGGCCTGCTGCTCACCATCACACACACATTAAGTGATCTGCAACAGTGACGTTTGAGGGGAGGTGGAGTGTGATGAAGCTGATAAGTGCCATGCTTTTAACACTTCCTGCTTGTTTCTGTTTTTAATCTAATCCTATTGTGCACTTTGGTTTCACACAAAGAAATTAGGATTTAATTACTGACGTTTTGAAGCCTTGATAACTTTTGCTCTTTGAGAAACACACACTCGAGAGCAGACTAAAGCGAGGCTTTTCAGAGTCTGACACATCGGGTCTGTGCTCATTTAAATGTTAGAAACATCTTACATCTCCTGCTTCATTTTGCACTACTCGTCTGAGCCCGAGAGAGCTCAATTATAATATTAAACCTTGTCAACAATCAGGAAGTTAGCCAAGAAAAACATATGCTGCACCTATGCAACATAATTCACCACAACCCCCAGATGGGGCTTGTTGGAAGGTGCTTATCAGTGTTTGACTGGAAAACTATGAAAAGAAAAACACAAGACTCCATCTCTGAGACAGCTGCAAATATCTACAAATGCAGGTATTATTGATTCAGTTTTGTTCTGACATGAAACCATAAACGATTTCCACAGATATCATTTAGACGCATTTACTGCAATCCTGAAGCAGAAGAAGATGAATGATGCTGTACCAAAGCCAGATTTCTGAAGAGACCCTGAACAGTGCTAATGCAGCTACTGCCTGGATGTTTTCATATATAAACAGTTTAAGAAGTTTAACAAACCTTAAAGCATCTGCCAGTGGCTTAGTAGTGTCACCATGGTAACTACAAACCTGTTTGTTTTGTTCATTCAACACCTTGTTTGAGACAAACACAAAAGCAGATTAGGGATTAAGCTTCAAACGAACCACAACTGTCCAGAAACTATATATTAGTGTATTAAACACGTTTCTGAACCAAGAGCAGCAGAAGGTTCTGGTGGCCAGGTGTGTTCGAGTGTCTAATCTAAGAGATCTTGACAAATTCAACAGATAATCTAAGTTGTGTTTTGAGGAGGAAAGGAGAAACTGGGTACTACTCGGCATCTGCAGCATTACCTCCTCAGTCTCGGACAAACTGAAAACACTCCTCTTACTCAGAGCCGAGCTTTTCTGCACTTTTTCTGCTCCAATGCATGAAAGTTAATAGCTGAGATGTTGTATTTTCATTTAAGAGAATTACTATTTTTTTATTTTTGTTGTTGGCCTGTGAAAAAATATGTAACCCACTTTGAAACAGGAACATGAAAGACTACAGATAGATGACTAGAATAGAAATAGAATAGAACATCCCTTTATTATCCCTCAGTGGGGAAAGTTTGGCGTCACAGCAGCAATAAAACTCATTACAGGAGCAAAACAGGGGAGTAAAAAATAAGAATAAAGAGTAAACACCAAGAAAACATGAAACAGAAATACTTAAAAGATTTAAAAAAATGCTGAATATATACACAATTTAAGGAATAAAAATAATTTTTAATAATAATAATTTTTTAGACAAATAATGAATCCCACAGATGTGTGCTTTGTTTAAAATCGATTTGCTCATGTGCAATTCGGTTATTCCACATTCAGTGTTACTGTAAAAATAAGTTTGTTTGCAACTGAAAAGGTTCAACATGCTTCTCTGTTGATAAAGGAAAATGTGCACATTCTCCGTCACTTTTTTAATAAATATTGAGTTTGGCCCCCGACTTCATCCCAGTTTTTTTATTTATTTATTTATTTATTTTTACCGTGTCCTGTCTGGCTGTGAAGCAAGCAGAATTGATGTCTGAATGCTGGTGACAAGCCTTACAGATTTATTCTCAGGTGGAGCATCAAAGCGTTTGCTTTTAATGTCACGCCTGATACTTAAAACTTTATTGTTATTGTTGTTGAATGCTTTGTAATTCCGACCAGACACGGAGACAGAGGTGGAAGAGAAAAGGTGGAGAAAGAGGAGGGGGGGGGGGGGGGGTCCACAAAAATAAACAATGAACAAGAGTCTGCTTCTAGACCTGCAGAAAAAGACAAAAAAAAAACAAAAGGACACAAAAAAGGGACACAACAACAATACAACAAGATCTACCTATCACTGCGTAAACTTGATGAAAAAAAGAACAAAAAAACCAATATATATATATATATATATATATATATATATATAATCAACATTGCTTAACTGAAGAATCACGATAATAAATCACAATGCATTAAGTGCCCCCCATAGTCTTAAGACATGTGTTGAACGTGCCCAAGCCCATACTTTTGAGAGCACCATGTGAGCACCTGTGTGTGTACACGCGCTTGTTTATTTAAGGTTTCTCTATAGGAGCGTCCAACAGAGAGTGTGAGGGACCACAGATCCGCCCCCCAAAGATGCGCAGGAGATGGGGGCGAGCTCCAAGTCCCAGAGATCCAGGCGTTGCCCCAGAATGCAGGAACCCCAAGGAGACTGCAACCAGAAAGGCCCCCGCCCCCCTCGAGAGGCACAGAGGATCGCCCCGGGGGGCCACAACCAGCAGCCGGCAGAGTCCCTGGAGATATCAGCGGCAAGCCCACAGGCCCGCCCGCAGCCTCCCACCCCCTAGCCGGCCGAGCCCGGGACCCAGCGACCCGGGACCCAGGGGTGACCACCCCCGCCGGGGACCCAGCAGAGCCCAGGGACCCAGACCCCACCAGGCAGCCACCGGGATCTATCAGGCAGATGCCAA